CACCACCCTCAAATCTTTTTCAGAGTTACTGTTTCCTACGATAGAGTCGTCCATCCTGAAAGTACAGCCTACATTCTTTGTTCCTAGATTAATACATTTACATTTAGACATATTACAAAGCACATTGTTTGCTTGCGCTCAATTTACCAAGTGATTCAGATCGCTTTGAATCAGTGACCTGTCCTCTTCATTATTTAACATTCTCCCAGTTCTTGTGTCTTCTACAAACTTTATCAATGATGATTTTATGTTTTCTTCCAGATCAATGATAAAAATGTTACATTGCATAGGACCAAGAACCAATCCCATAGGAGCCCACTGGAAACAGACCCGCTCAATGACAATTCCCTGACTACAGTTACATTTTAAGACCTGTCAGCTAGCAAGTTTTTAATCCATTTGGTGCGTGTCATGTTATTAATTTTATATTCTAGCTTTTTAATGAAAATGTTGTGCAGTACCAAGTCAAATGCCTTACAGAAGTCTATTACATCAGCACTATTAATTTAATCAAGCAGACCTGCTGTTTTTTTAATGAGATTACAAGTCCGTTTGACAGCATCTATATTTCCATAAACCATGTTGATTGGCATTAATTATATTACCTTCCTTTATTTCTTAATTGAGTCTTAATATCAGTCACTCTATTACCTTGCACAGACAGATGTCAGGCTGACAGACCTATAATCATCTGGGTCACCCCATTTATCCTTTTTGAAAATGTCCAGTTTTCTGGAACGTCTTCAATACTCCAAGACTTACTGAAAATCAACATTAATGGTCCAGCAAGCTCCTCAGCCAGCTCTTTTAAAACTGTTGGATGCAAGTTATCTGGACTTCCTGATTTAAAAGTGTATCACTTTAGTAGCTTCTGTTACTACTACTACTAGTAGTACTAGTGGAATGGAAAGAATGTTATCACCATATGATGAGACTATATCGCCTGTTTTTTTCCTCAAATACAAAACAAATTTATAGAACACTTCTGCCTTTTCTGCATTATTATTAATTCTAACTTTCCATCTAGTAATGGATCAATACGGCCAACAAGAAATTATAGATCTATGAACAAAAAATGTAGGCCATTCTGTACAGGATGGGGGACTCCATCCTGGGAAGTAGTGACACTGAAAAAGATTTGAGGGTCATGATGAACAACTCAACATGAGCTCCCAGTGTGATGCTGTTGGCCAAAAAAGCTAATGCAATCCTTGGATGTATGAACAAGGGACTCTTGAGTAGGGAAGTCATGTCACTTCTGTATTTGGCACTGAAGTGACCATTGCAGGAATACTGTGTCCAATTCTGGTGTCCACAATTCAAGAAGGCCATTGATACAGAGAAGAGCCACAAGAATGATTAAAGGATTAGAAAACATGCATTATAGTGACTGACTCAAGGAACTCAATCTTAAAGAGGTTATAGATTGACCTGATTACCGTTTACAAGTGCCTATCCGGGGAACAAATATTTAATAATGGGCTCTTCAAACTAGCAGAGATAGGTATGTGAAGTTGATAGGCTGGAAGTTGAAGCTAGCCAAATTCAGACTGGAAATAAGGCATATATTTTTAACAGTGAGAGGAACAATTGACCAAGGGCTGTGGTAGATTCTCCAACACGGACCAATTTTAAATCGGGATTGGATGTTGCTACAACAGGGTGGACCTACAACAGGAGGAAATATTACACTGAGTGGGTATCTTAGCTAAGTTAATGGAGAACAGACTCTATAAATATTTTCATAGATTTTAAGTACCATTATGATAATCTAGTCTGACATCCTGCTCAATACAGGCCGAAGAATGTGTAGGGTATAAACACAAAGGAATGAGAAATTATTTAGGATGGGTCAAAGTGGTATGAGTTCAGAGAATGGAATATAGTTGAGAGAGTGAATTTAGGCTAAGTAGTAACAAATATTTAAGTGAAAGATATTTTACATTGTAGAAAAGTCTTCCAAAATAGAGAGCAGGTCCCATAACTTGGGACAATTCACACCTGTAGGGACAAGGCAGTCAAGGATATAATGGAGTGCATATTCTTGCATGTGCCTCAATGAGATGGACTGGTTAGAGTGGTAAATGAATTAGTGGGAAATAACTGCAAATAAACAGAAGGCAAGGAGAAGCAAAGTAGAGACTTGAAAGTGAGGAAAACAAACAAAAGTAGGTACACAATGGGCAAGTACAAAAGCATGTACAGCACCATACAAGAAAACAAAAACCCAACTCAAAGACCACCACTGGGGACAACTAATTAATGGGGATTTTGGACCTTTTAAAAGATTATCTGGATCAGGCATGAATGGAATTAGTTATACAGTAGAACCTCAAAGATACGAACACCAGAATTACAGACTGACCGGTCAACCAGACCCCATGTGGAACCAGAAGCAAGCAATCAGGCAGCAGCAGAGACATACACACACACAAAAAACCACCAGCAAATAGTGCACTGTGCCTGTATTGCATCTTAAAGGTAGGCACATCTGTGCTGCCTATCCCCAGCCCCACCCCCTACTCATCACATGGGGAGGGCAGCCACTTACAGGTAGGAGGAGGTGAAGATGCTAAGTTTCACAGGCACAGCTATGAGCCCCTGAGCAGGCAGAGCAGTGCTGGGGTCTGCACCACTTTCCTGTAAGCCACTTCCCCCTGCCCAGGAGGGGGACAAACTTGCATACACAGTCTGAACCCAGGAAAGACACTTCCCGAGCTGCTGCCGGAACCTGGCCTGGAGTGTTTGCTGCTAGAGCTGGAGCCCTGCACACTGGAGGAGCAGCTCAGTTGTAAAAAGGCCACACTGACACCACAGTGCCCCAGGGTGCCTCACTCATCACCCTTGCATCCAAGGGTCTAGAACCAGCTGCCTGTGCACACCACCCACTTGCCAGGCTAGGAGGTGAAGATGCTGAAGTTCACTGGCACAGCTGTGAGCTCCCACTCCAGGCAGTCTGCCCTGAGGAGCATCCCATAACGACTTTGTCAAAATTATGAACATTTCAGAGTTACGAACAACCTCCATTCCTGAGGTGTCCGTAACTCAGGAGTTCTACTGTAATAGGGATGATTAACTGGTCATGGTAACTGAGAATGACCTTTCTCCTTTATGAGCCACCTTCTCTGAAACAGAGGAAACTCAGACTTCATACATGTGCATTTACATAACCAAGTCACTTGGCTAATACAATACAAGCTGAATACCCCTTAGCATTTTTCCAAAAAAGAGATAGACTCATAGACTAAGTCCAGAAGCGACTGTAGTAGAAAGAGAGCCTAAGACATAAGCCCTAGTATCAGAGGCCTGAACTAAAGTAGTGGCCAAGCTCTGCTGATATAAAGCAAAGACAGGCTGTGAGCACAAGTCAGGCTCTGCCTGCTTGCAAGCTTCACAGAAACTGGCAAGAACAGGGCTGGTATTGCAAAAACACACATTCCTAAGAAGTGCTAGGCACAGGACATTTATGCAAACACATTCCAGAAGGATGGTTCCACAACACCTCAATATCAACACAAAGATAACAGGAACACACTGACCTCTCAAAGATAAGGTCAGGATGACAGTATGATGGATAGAGATGTTTTGCTCGAACCAACACATACAAGGTAATGGATGACTGGCCATGTCGAGGGGGGGGGGGGAATACATAACTTAGAATCATAGAAGATTAGGGTTGGAAGAGACCTCAGGAGGTCATCTAGTCCAACCCCCCTGCTCAAAACAGGACCAACACCAACTAAATCATCCCTGCCAGGGCTTTGTCAAGCTGGGCCTTAAAAATCTCTAAGTGGAGATTCCACTACCTCCCTAGGTAACCCATTCCAGTGCTTCACCACCCTCCTAGTGAAACAGTGTTTCCTAATATCCAATCTAGAGCTCCTCCACTGCAACTTGAGACCATTGCTCCTTGTTCTGTTATCTGCCACCACTGAGAACAGCCGAGCTCCATCCTCTAGTTGAAAGCTGCTATCAAATCCCACCTCACTCTTCTCTTCTGCAGACTAAGCAAACTTAGCTCCCTCAGCCTCTTGTAGTGGTGTATAAAATGGAGTCTCAGAGGGAATGCCTTTGGCCACTTAGGGGATAGTGGAAAGTCCCATCACTGACTGAGCTGCATCCATTGTCACAGGCATCCGGGGAGCTAGGACCGTGCTTTGTCAGCAATAAACCTAACCTAGTGCCTTTGTATCTTAACGGCTCTTGTGGTCACTGGACGTCTGCTGTGCCAGCTGTCTGCACAGAGCTGGGAGAGAGAACACACACAGCCAAACATGTGACTACAGAGACCACCGTGATCTAGTCCAGTGGTTCTCAACCAGTGGTACATGTACCCCTGGAGGTTCTCAAGAGGTCTTCCAGTGGGTACATCTGCCTAGTTTTACAACAGGCTACATAAAAAGCACTAGAGAAGTCATTACAAACTAAAATTTCATACAACTTGTTTATGCTGCTCTATACTACAATGAAATGTAAGTACAATATTTATATTTATAAATTATATGGTAAAAATTAGAAAGTAAGCAATTTTTCAGTAATTGTGTGTTGTATTTTTATGTCTGATTTTGTAAACAAGTAGTTTTAAAATGAGATGAAACTTGGGGGTACGCAAGACAAAATCAGACTCCTGAAAGGGGTACAGTAGTCTAGAAAGGTTGAGAACCACTGATCTAGTCTGACCTCCTGCACTTTGCAGGCCACAGAACCTCACCCATCCACCCCTGAAATAGACCCAGAACCTCTGGATGAGTTACTGATGTTCTCAAATCATGATTTAAAAAAAGATTTCACATTACAGAGAATCCACTATTTAGTTTAAACCAGCAAGTGACCTGTGCCCCATGCTGCAGAAGAAGGCAAAAAAAATCCAGAGTCTCTGCCAATGTGACCTGGGGGAAAATTAGTTTCTGACCTCAAGTATGTCAATACAATACTAAATGAGAAACACCAGCCTTCCTGATCGCTCTCCAGCTAGTGTGTGGTGTTTTTTGTTTTTTTACCTGGGTGGATTGGCTTCAAGTTCTTGGAGCTTTTCTTCCAGCTTTCCTTGTGTTTCTGCCAACTCATCATACTCCTGATAAAAGGTTAAACAGATTCAGTCAAGTATTAGCTTTAAATTTCTCATTTTTAAATAAAAAACAAGGAGAAAGTGAAGTGTCCATAGTAAACTTACTGCCAAATAATGATCACAAAAACGCAATGCCACATGCATGTTTTTGTAGGAAAAGGAAAATATTTTAACACAAAGGATGAGATTTAGATTCTCCAAAGTTGAAAAAGTAAAGTTTTTTTTTATTCAATGTTTATATTATGGTAGAGCACACAGGCCCCAATAAGAATGGGGTTTGATCCATCTCCCATTGAAGACACTCATATGTGTTTCAATGGCACTGAATCAGACCACTGGATCCTAAAAGTACTATTAGTTCAGCCACATTTCACACTTGTGATGTCCATTTCTGCAATCAAACGAATACCTTAAAACACAAAACCCTACTTTCCTGGATTGTCAGCAAACACTCAGGTCAGAGAATGTGATAAAATCCAAATGGTTCTCTCAGTAACTGGAACTCAACCAAACTGGATGTGATATATTTTCTATTCTTGTTTCCTTATTAAAGACTTTATTTCATTGTTGAATGTATAAAGTGAGATATTTCCAAAGTAAAAGAAAATAGAAAATATTAAAGCACATGCAGTACACCCAAGTTCAAGCTAGAATTTTAAAGGAAGACCTCTATAGACAGCTATTAAGTAATGTGCTGTATCAACTGATGAGGAAGAGCTCACTGCTGGAAGTTATGACCAATGTTCCCTCTAATTTTTTCCATCCATGTGTGGAAAGAATTTTGTTATGTGCACCAATATTGAGGTAATGTGCGGAAGCCACCAGTAAAAACAAGAAACCTAGATATAATATATATTTTTTAAAAGCTACCATAGGGATAATTACTCCAGCCATGACAGATTAGGCATTTTAGAACTCACTACTCAAAGAATTAAATTTAAGCATAAGAGAGAAATAAAATTATGAAATGCATAGACCAGTCAAAAAACAAATAACAGCACTTTGAAAGAATAAAATTACAGAGAATATATGTGCATTGCAGGAAGTACGAAGAAGTACCAAAAACATCACAAGTATGTGTTGGGAGGTGAGAGAGCGAGAGCAAGTGTGAGTGAGACAGACAGACAGTGTGGGTGTGCTGGCTGCTGGACAGTGCACTGTCTCTAAGCACATCAGCACTCACCAGTCGGAAGGCTTGTTCAGACTGCAGCAGCTGCCAGCAGTTCCATCTAACTCCAGAGCCCTGTTCCCCACTCTGCGTAGATGGGGTACATGAGCAGGAGGAAGAGGGACACCCTGACATCAGCGCCCCCACCTCTGTTCTGCACAGCAAGCAGGAAGGTCCTGGGAGTAGCTGGCAGGAGCTCCAAGGCAGAGGACAAGAACAGCACAGCAGCAGGGGGAGGGGCACATAAACAAGTCGCTGGATGTGCATGGCTCTACTAACCAAGTGTGCGGCACTTGATTACTCTTGCGCGGCCATGCAGCTTAGGTTGGTTTGGCATGATTTGTTTTTGACAAATCCATGCTGGCCATTCCTTATAACCTATTGTCCTCTAGCTGCTTACAAATTGATCAATAATTTGTTCCAGCATCTTTCCAGGTATCAAAGTTAGGCTGACCAGTCTATAATTCCCCAGATCCTCTTCACACACATACCCTTTATTAAAAAAGAAAAGAGAGGTACTATGGTTGCCCTTCTCCAGTCCTCTGGGACCTCAGTCATCCTCCATGAGTTCTCAAAGATAATTGCTTCAGCTAGTTTCCTTAAGTACCCTAAGATGAATTTCATCAGGTCCTGCGGACGTGAATACATCTAACTTATCTAAATATTCTTTAACCTGTTCTTTCCATACTTTGGCTGACATTCCTTCCCCCTTATTGTTAATATTAATTATGTTGAGTATCTGGGTCACCATTAACCTTTTTAGTGATGACTGAAGCAAAATTGGTGATAAAAACCTCAGATTTCTTGATATCAGTTATTAGCCTCCTTTCACACTAAGTAGAGGACCTCCACTTTCCTTCGTCTTTCTCCTGGCTCCTAATATATGTTAAGAAAAAAAAATCTCTTATTGCCTTTTTTATGTACATTGCATAGGGATTCAGAAGAGTGCTCTAGAAGAGTAGCTGTTTGGCAAATGATGGCTTTGGAAAGGTCAAGGTCACAGGACAGGGATCAATCCAAAGTTGTGAAGTTTTCCTGTTTATTCTCTGCTGTTAACTTATTTTTCTTTCCTGTTATACACACAATGAGGAGAAGACCTTGATGACTTATGACTTTTCTCCAAAATTGTTGCAGTTTCTTACAAATTGAGGCCACTTTTCCAGAATTAGGAAAAAACACATTTAAAATTTTTTCCTCAGTGTATCTGAGGAACTTTATGGTCAACCACAGTGTGTGGTAAGTTCCTACCAAAGCAAACTTTTCAGAGGGGGCCCCATGAAAAGGGGTGGGGAGGAGAATGGTAGGAGCTCCTGGCACTATATTTCACTACCATAGCTGAGACTACCAACAATCCAGGAGCTGGGTGGGAGGGAAAAAAACAAATCTAACCTGTTGTGGGATGTCAAAGATGTCAATTTTCTTCATCCTGGGTGAAATGGATTAAGAGGCATGCCAAATAATCTTGGCATGTACCAGTAGCTTCTCATTTACTGGTAAAGCAATTCTGCATTTGTGATGGGGCTCCCAAAATATCAATGAGTCTTTCTTGACACTTATCAGTCCAAAGTATCTACCACACTGAACAGCAGCTACTGAAAATACTTAAGCAGAAATGAAGAAATTATAAAAGTATTCTCTTCTGCAGAGGTTGAAGGATGAGCTGTACCCTGAAGGAAAAGGGCATCCTCAAGATCACTATCACCCTTCTCATCAGTATCTATTTCCAGCAACTCTTCCCTAACCCACAGGACTGGGGGGACAAGTCTAGGAGAAAAGCGTAAGACTGATTATGGGAAGTGGAGGAGTAACATGGCCCTGGTTTCTTGATTATCCTCTTAACCCTGACTCCCTAAACTGAGGAAGAGGAGGGAAGAAGAGCTAATATACCATGGAGCATAATCAAACTGGTAATTGTGGGAACGAACAGATAAACTCCACAGAGTATCAGAAAAGCCAGGGGGAAGGCTTTTAAAGTTCTATGAATAAGATGGGGAGCCTATTTTCTCACATTTGGGAAACTATAATGTTTCCCATGACTTCGTCTGAGATGGATTTGGAGGTGTGCCCTAAAGGTATTAAATCATAGAATCAT